GAGATCATTTTTTTTTTCAGAAAATGCAGATGAGAAAAGCATAAAAATGGAGCGATTGGTGGGCTCAGTTGATAACAGCATGTACACACCGGCACTGGTCGGAATACGCATTTTCGATCGAAGCGAATCCGCGAAACAGTTCGCCCAAATTTGTAAATTATTTTCTTATAAAAAAAACTCATGAGTGTTCCTGTAACGGAACGAATCCCATCAGTAATGTGTGGATCCTGATCTGGCATCCCAGGTGTTCCAGTGGCAACTTCTGCAGCTGCTTTGAGCAGTGCTGCATCGCTTGGTGGTCACTCAGCTACTGGTGATTATTATTACCTTTGCTTTATCTCCTGAAGGGATTGCCAGCTCGGAATTTCTTTTGATCGAAGCCGTGGCAGGGCTTTAGCCGTTTCAAGACAACCTTGGTAATTGCGGTTTCTGTACCCGCTGAAGGTATCTTATCGACTAAAAAAAACATTGCGAATTTTTTTCAGCAAGAAACCGGAACTACCTCTTTGAGCCCCGTGAAAGCAAAAACACTCAGAATGGTTTGGATGGTAGCCCATACCTTTAGTAACCACAAATTGGGAAGCTCTCAGTAGTTCGGTCTCTTGAGAATCATCTAAAAGTAAGATAATGGCGGTTCTGATTTCCCGACATGGATTTATAAGAATTTATCATTAAACAGATCGCAGAAAGGGTTGATTTTTGTTCAGTTGTCGGATCGGACTATCAACTTCAAGTCTGAAGATGATATACCTACAGTCATCTGAATTTGTTCTGGTACGTTTTAGCACTTTTTTCAGACCCAGTGCCGATCGTTCCAGCAATGTATATTATCGATTTAAAAGGAAAACCTCTGGATGTAATTACAGTTACCGAGGAGCTCGATGAGGACGTTTTTCGCCACAGGCTAAAGATAGCTGTTGAAGTGACTTTTATAATCATAAAATTAGAAATCTTGTAATTTTAAAGATATTAAAAAAACACACATATTTTTATAAGTTTTACTATAAATCTGCTATGTTCTGGGCCAAAAATTCTCACTGTGGCACTATGCAATCACGTTCATCTTTTGACTCTTTTGAATGGCTCCCACCACGGAGCTTTATTCACTAAATAGGACATAAATATATGCCTTGCGTTTGGTTAAAAAAAAAAAAAAAAACAC